GCTCACCAGCCATCGGACGGCCGCTCACCACGGCTCATGACGGCTCATAGCAGCCCACTGTAGCCCACTGTAGCAGGGACTGCAGCCTATGCTGTTGCTGGCAACTCACAGCAGCCCAGCTCCAGGTCGAGCTGTTGTTCACCATCTTAGCTGTAGAGAGCGCAGCATCACTGGCCCCCATGTGGGATCCGAACTGGGGCCCTACTGCTCAGAGCTGGAGTCCCAAGCCAACTCTTAATCAGTGTGCCATGCGACTGGCCCTCAGCACCACTTGAAGAAACTATCCTTCCTCCATTTAACTGATTTTGCAACTTTGTCAAAAATAGGTTGAATATATTTGTGTGGGTCTATTTCTAGGTCTTCTGTTCCAGTGATCTAGGTGTCTCTCCCTCCAATATCACACTGTCTTGGTTACTATCACTGTAGTTTTATACTTGTTTACACTACGTTGTTGGTGTATATAATTTAGAGAATTATCTTCCTTGTAAACTAATTTTGTATCAATATGTGGTGACCTTCTTTATCCCTAAAATGTTTATTGAATTAAAGCCTACATCACTGATATTAATTTGCTTCCCAGTTGTTCCTCAATATTCATTATTCCTTTATTCTTTAGTAGTAGAATTCATGACTTTTAGCTAACCACAAGGCTATTCAGAATAAAAACTATGTTCCCTGAGTTGGGCATGACCATGAAGTTCTGGCCAATGGAATGTAAGCAGAAGTGGTACCTACAACATCTGCAGTGTCCTTATAGAGAGATCATGTGACCGTTTTTGTGTCTTCCGCCTTCCTGCTGGCTGGAATGTGGATGTGATGGCTAGAATCTGAGCAGCCATCCTGGGTAAGAAGGTAGAAGCCACATATTAAGGATGGTGAAACAACACAGTACAAAGAGCCTGGATCCCTGGTAATTGAGAAGCAGGATACCTGCAGCTGACTGTTTATATCTGGACTTAGTTTATGTGACAGAGAAACATGCTTCTATCTGTGTAAGACACTGTTACTGAGTTTTCTGTCACTTCTTACCAAATCTAACAAACACAACTAGCTTCATTTTTTAAGGACTTTATTTTTTATTTTTCGAGCAGTTTTGGGTTTATAATAAAATTGAGAAGGAGGTATAGAGATGTCCTATGTGCCACCTATACCTCCCACACACATAGCCTCCCTCATTATCAACACCGCTCACCGGATGGTACAACTGCCTTCATTTTCATTTTAATTAAGTATGGCAGCAGTAACAGAGGCCCAACCACAGGGCCTTAAAATTTTTGAGATTTATTTCTGTGTTGCGTGGAAGAAGTCCAGAGATGGGCAGTCTAGGGCTGGTGCGATGGCTCCATGGTCACTAAAGACCAAGTCTCCTCTTAGCTTTCTCCCATCCTTAAACAGAGCTTCCCTCCTCAAGGGCACCTTCCAGTCCAGGAAGGCTGCTATAGCTCCAGCCCTCATGTCTGCATTTAAGGTGACAGGAAAGAAGAAGCCATGGAAGAGGCTTTCCCAGTTCTCTGTCCACATTTTAAGGAATCATCACACAAATACCACCCACTAAATTCTGCTTACAACTCATTGGTTGAGAAATTAGTAACCCGGTCACAGCTAGCTGCAAAGGAAACTGGGGAATGCAGTCTTTGGGTACAATATTTGACTGTCAAGGTGCTGTTATTACGGAAGTAGGGAAGAATGGATATTGGATAAACAACTGGAATCCTCTGCCACATCCGGGTATATGCTTCCATGTTTTTACTTCAGCATTTCTGTCCTTATGTTTTCGGTGTGTATCTTATATGCAATAAGTAGCAAGACTTTGTTTTAATCTGTCTGGCCAGTATAGTCTGTTTACATGTATTGTGATTGCTAGTATACTTGGATATATTTGTACTATGTACTTTGTGCCTCTACTTTCTTTGCTCTTTTATTTTTTCTCCTTTTCCTATCTTTTATTCGACTGATTAAAAGTTTCTTTTCCATTCTCCCACTGGTTTGGAAGCTATAGAATCTCATTCTAATTTTTATTGGTTATCCTTAATTTTTTTAAAAAACAATCATGCATGATCAAAGTCTAAAATGAATGTTTTTATTCCTCCCAAACAATCCAGGGAGCTTTTCTAATTACCCTCTTCTTAACTTACATGTTGTTATCATGTGGAGTTTTAGCTTCAACTTGTTTTAGACCCACTCAACACTAGTCATTACTAGTACTACCTTATTGTACAGTAATGCTTACTTAAGTTTTTCGATGTTTACCAATTTGCTTGCTCACCACTGCTTTTATCCACGTCTTCCTTCTCAATTTAATTGCCATCTTCTTAAAACATACTTTAGTAGGTCTGGGAGTAGTAAACTTACTTGGGCTTTACCTGGAAATATCTTTATTTCCCTCTTATCACTTTTTTATACACAGTTTGACTGTGTATAAATTCTAAGTAGAGAGGAAGTTTCCCTCAAAACTTTGGAGATGTTATCAGGTTTTTCTGGTTTCTGATGTTGTGTTGAAATCCTCAGTCTGTCTCGTTACTGTGCCTTTTTTCGAAACCTGTCTTTCCTCTCTGGTTTATCTTAAGATAATCTCTTTGGTTTTGTTAGCTACCATTTTACTTTGGCATGTTCAAGTGCAGAATTATTTTTATTTATCTGTTTGGGAGTTAGGTTTCCTGGATATGAGAATCTGAGTCTTTGGTCATTTCTGGAAAACTCTTGGTGGTTCTCACCTTGAACACTGAGTCCATTCTCCCCAGCCCATTTCTCTGATTAGATGTATGTTGGGTCTTCTCATCCTACTCTCCACATCTCAACTTCTCTTTTGTGTTTTGTTTACCTCTGTGTGTGGCATGCTGGGTAATTTCTTCACAACACTATTCCAGTTTACGAACTCTTGCTGCAGCTGGCTTTATTCTGCTTTTTAACCATTTGCTCAGTTTATTTCAGTGTTAATATTTTTCATGTCTAAAAGCTGTGTTTGGTTCTTTTTCATAATATCTTCTTAGGGTCCTGATTCCCACTTTTATGTTTATTTGGTTTCCATCAACCTTACTTCCTAGTGGTCCAGACTGCTGTTTCCTTACCTCAGGTCACTGGTTGTGCTACTCCAGTCTTTTTGTTTCCTTCAGCTGACTCTGAGGAATTGTTTCTTGCATATTTTGTAATTTTATTTTATTATTATTATTTTAACTTTATTGGGGAACAGTGTGTTTTTCTCAGGACCCATCAGCTCCAAGTCAAGTTGTTGTCCTTCAATCTTAGTTGTGGAGGGCGCAGCTCAGCTCCAAGTCCAGTTGCCATTTTCAATCTAGTTACGGGGGTGGGGGGGGGCATGGAGGCACAGCCCATCTTCCCATGAGGAAGTTCTTGTTAAGAGCACACGCTGTAACCAACTGAGTCATCCGGCCGCCCACTGGCAGCTCAGCTCAAGTTCTTGTCTTCAATTTAGTTGCAGAGGGCGCAGCTCACTGGCCCATGTGGGAATTGAATCGGCAACCTTATTGTTTAGAGCATGCGCTCTAACCAACTAAGCCACCCAGCCACCCTGCATATTTTGTAATTTTAAATGGCGAGTTGTCTTCAGGGTTTTGCTTTCTCTGAAAGAGTTGTGTGTAAAAAGAATGGCAAGTGTCCTAGGAGAGTGGTTTTGTAGTGTTTGTGCATGCCATGTGCCCCAGGAATGTCACAAACCTGGGACTTTATACATATTTCTTGGGTTGGCAGTCCCCGCCAGGTAAATTCAGACTTCATAAAAGTGACAGGCATGGCATGGGATTTTAGGTTGCCACAGGAGACTTCTACCCCACTCCTATTTCCTTGCTCCCTTTCTGTGGCAGTGTGTAGTTTCTAGTTGTTGGTTTGAGGTTCTTTAGCCCCCTCTCCTTGACCCTCACCCTGGGACTTACCGAGGTGCAGCCTTTGAGGGTCCTGGCCTACGTTCAGTGGGCACCATCACAACTCTCCTCTTTTGAGCCAAGGTCTTGTCTCTCGCCCATGCTTGAAGGTTAAAACCCAAAGCCCTCGCTGTTTTCAAGTGCATTTCCCTTCAGCTGCTACAGCGCAGCTCTGGCACCTGCTACTCTTTGTGTCTGATAGTTGAGGACTCTCCTGTCTCTCTTACTATTCAGCCATGCAGCAAAAACATGGGATTACATTTTATCCAGCCTTTCTAGGTGTCTATGGCTGCAGAGCTTGTTTTCGTTAATTTGCTTCCTGTCTGAACCAGAAACTCTAAGTTAATCTCTCTAAGCCTCAGTGTCTTCCTCTGTCAAGTAATAGTACCTCTTTTGTGGGCAAGGAGTTAAATGAGACAAAGCAGGTAAAATACTTAGTGTGGAGCCTGGCACATGGTAGGAACTCCATACATATGAGTATTGTCGTTGTCACTCTAGGAAATTGGCAAAGCCTGGAAAAACATAAAGGAAATAAACGCGTACTATCCACTGAAAATTATGATTACCACTTTAATATATTTCTAACCTTTATTCATATGCATATTTGCACATTACTTATAAGACAAAAGTACTGGGTTGTCGGAAAAGCCGTGATGTATTTTTTCTGTTTTTCGTTGCAAAAGTGCGTCATGACTTTCCGACAACCCAAGAGCACTGTGCATACAACTTTGTCATCTAACCCTAATTATCTCCCCAAGGCCTCATCTCTAGATACCATTGCACTGCAGATTAGGGCTTCAACATAAGAATTTAGGGGACACGATTTAGTGTGTTTCTCTATTTAACAGCTGCCCCTCAGGTTGAAAGGCCGCCTGTGAAATTAGCCAGAGTGAGATGGTCAGATTCGCATTTTTCTCCGACAGAGTCCACTTCGGTCGGAAGGTCCAGGGGGCTGAGAGCACAGTGAGGTCCAGGGAACCCGTGAAGTGTGCGTGGTCGGGGTCTGGGGAATTGCCTCAGTGTTTCTGTGGGAGGCCAGCCCCCAGCCCCCGAGCGGGCCTGAGTGGCCCTGGCTTCTCTGCTCCTGCCTCCACATCCCCCCCCATGCCCCTCCCCCTGCAGATCACGATGGGGTTGGAGCTTTCTCCTCCAGTCACTTTTCAGCTCCGGGCTGGCTCTGGACCCGTGTTCCTCAGTGGCCAGGAATGTTATGGTAAGTCTGAGCTTGGACCTGGGCAAGGTCTGGGTGTGCGGTGCCAGGGCCAAGGACACATACAGTCCTCAAACACTTGAGGGGGTCTTGAATTATTAGAGAAAATCCCCAAAGGCAACACGGTTGCCAAGAGCCTGAGCTGGAAGCACAGGTCCTAGCCCCATTTCTTTCCTTCCCTGCCACATCCTCTGTGGGCCACAGCCCCCTTGCCTATAACACGAGGGTGGGGGATACTTGGTTTCATCTCGTCATACTCAGAAACAGCGGTTAACACAATGCTGAGTACTAGCACGCACGTGCGCTATCAGCGCCTATGAAGTCCGTAGCTGTAGTAGTGGCATGGAACCTAGCGAGTAGCCGTGCTCTCTTAATATCCCTTCGACTGGCTCTCGTCTCTGTCCAGTTGTGCCTCTTTCATCAGGGTGCTGTCCTGCCCCCAAACCCTGGCAGGGCCCACTTACCTTAGGATAAGGTCTGAAGGCCTCAGCTGCCACTCCAGGTTCCTCCCCAGCTGCTCCCTCCTTCCCCGCACACAGTCCTTCCGAGAGCGAAGCCTGCCACCTAGCCGCAGCCCCGCTTGGCTTGCCGTTGCCCTGCCTCCTCCTCCCGTCCCCAGCCCTCTGGAGCTGTCCCGGGTTCCTCACCCCACCCTTGCCTCTGCTCTGTCGGGGAGGCCAGGAGAGGTCCATAGGAGGTGAGCAGGTGGACACTGTCAACTCCGCGCTGGGACTCCCCCAGGGCAAATCTCAAGCCACACGACGGAACGGGAGCCAGGCGGAGAGCATGCGCTCAGGGGCCCTGCCTCTCGCCCGCACCATTGCAGACACTGCAGATCTCTCCTGGGAGGCGGAGGAGGAGGAGGAGGAGGAGGTGGAAGAGGAGGAAGAAGAGGAGGAAGACGAGGAGGAGGAGCAGCAGCAGCAGCCAGAGGAGGAGGAGGAGGAGGATGTTGCTATGTTGCCTGAGGAGACCCCTGTCAAACAGGGCAAGAGGCCAGTGCCGCAGAAGCAGACAAGCGTCGCCAAAGTGAGGGGGGACCCAGACCCCAGGGACTTGGGCCGGGCCTCCTGAGCTGAGCATGCGGAGGTGTGAGGTCGGGGCGAGCCCTAACTGTCCCAGTAACGCTTGTGTTTGGTTCCCAGAGAAAAAAGGTGGAAAAAGAAGAGGAGTCAGTGAGGTAAGTCTTTCCATCTCTTCACTTGGCCGAACTCTTAATGGAGGTGTACAGTGCTAGAAAGAGTAGGATGTGCCTGGTGTGTGCGCGCACACACATGTGTGTGCATGTGTGTACATATGTGTGTGCATGTATGTGTGTGTGTGTATGCGTACGATGGTACACAGGAGCGGCACAGCCTTTCTGAAAAGCGTTAAACCATCTTATCTTCTGACCTAATTCCACTTATGCAATTCCTTTCAAATGATCCCATCCGAAGTATGGGGAAAATTACATGCACTAAGAAACTCAGCACTGCATTATTCAAATAATAGTGAAAATGGAAGCATTCTCAATGTCTACCAATATGATAGTTGATTAAACTATGTCACATTTTCTCAGTGGATGTCACCTACGCCCATGAAAACTATAGCAATCTGAAAAGTGTTTACAGAATGTAAAACAACAGGACATTAAATCATTTTCATTTTATTTCACATGTTTTTAGAAGAAAACAAACACACAAAAAGCCCTGAAAGGAAATACACCAAAATGTTAATATTGGTGGGAGGTGAATAACATAAGGAATTTAATCTGTTCGCTATTTGCTATAGTTTGTACAATGTGATTAACATTACTTTTATAATGAAACGACATACTTGTGATAAATAAAAGAAAGCAGAAGATGGAAGCCTAAGAAGACAAAAACATCTTGTTTAAAAAAAGAGTCAGAGTGGTCCCGGGCAGGTGACAGGTGAAGAGGTGAATTCTGAAGCCGCCCCTTTCCAGGGCACAGCCCCCTGCTTCCTGGGAGTGTCCAGGGCCCTGCTTTCCAGTGTGGGCACTGGGGGGGCAGGGGCTACTGGCACCAGGCTGAGCTGTCTCCCCCTCCCACCTCCCCACTCCTTGCCCGCCCCACCCCTATTCCAGATCCAGTCTTAGAGACAAGAGCCCTGTGAGGAAGGTGAGTTCTGATAAGAAGGGGCTGGTCCTCCTGGGGGAAAGGGTGGTCTCTGGGAACGTGCCAGGACCCGGAGGGAGCGGGACACTGGAGCCCTCCCTTCTCTCCACAGGCCAAACCCACACCCAGACCTAAAAAGCCGGGACCCAAGAAATGAGGATCCAGGAGTGGCCTGGCCACAGTGACCCAGGGAGGGCCTGCCAGGCCACCATGCAGCGTGGGCCTTCCTGGTGTGCGTCGTGAACCCAGGGCACCCCACCCCCACCCCACCCACCCCAGCTCCGTCCACCTGAGTCTGAATGTGATGGAGGAGTTGGGAGCAACACAAACGCCCCTCGCACCAACTCTCTGGATTCAGCAGGACTTGGAAGGAAGAACCCCAACCTCAGGGGCCACAATAAAGTTTGCTTTGCCAGGATGTTTCCGCATCTCTTCCCAGGAGCCATACGCGTTGCCGGCTGCAGTGAGCCCTTATGCCCAGCAGAGGGCGGCAGCGTCCCAGCACAATGGGCATGGTGGCCTGTGTCGGCCAGCTCTGCTCTGCTCTTTTAGCTCCATCTCTTCTCCTGGCACACCTTCCTCTGGCCCAGCTTTGGGGGAAGAACCCAGTGTCTCAGCCCCTTACCCAGCTTCAACCTTCTGCCCCTGGCCTGAGGGAGGGTGCTAAGAGCTGCTGTGGGTCTCCCTGTGCCCACACTCCCTTCTGGCAGGGCTGGATTTTCTAGGTACAGAACTGAAGGGCTACAGCGGCTGGCCCCTGCCAGGAAGGGCCTCGACCCCCGTGGGACCAACCCGAGGGTCTGTGTCTACTGGGACCTCCGGGCACAGTACTAGTCCTGCTTCCTGGGCATGTGTCCTGTTCAGGGCAAGCTCCTCACAGGGGCCTCACTTATGTGAAGATCTGTGTTGGTCAGGAGCCCAGAGGCCTGTCCCTTCAAGGACATCCTCCTGGGTGGGGGAGACAGGGCGGGCTTAGGGTGGCTATCGGGGTCTCTTACAGGAGGTGGACAGGTGAAAACTTTCAACTCCTGTGCTAGGGTTCCCCTCGGGCAACTCTTGGAGCCACTGGACCCCGGCTCAGTACATTGTTGGGGTGAGGCCAACAGAGGACTGGAACAGGGGCGAAGGACCCCTTGCATGGCTCTGGCCTCCTGCCCGCTCCCAGGCCTGCAGAGCAGCCCTGGAGCCAGTTCATCCACAATGACACACAGATGGCCCCCCACTCTGGTTATACTTGTAAGGCCTCTTCAGGGCTTCTCCCTGCCCCTCGCCAACACCCCTTCTCTCCCAGGAACCCCAGGTATGGGTCCGAGAAGGAGGTCTTTGGACACCCACACAGAAGGTCAGCAACCAGGCTTGGGTCTCCCACTCAGCTCCACCATTCCCTTGGTTGCAGAAAGAGTAGCAGAGGGCAGGATTGGCATTCCTGCCGTTTGCTTTCTACCCCCCATGAGAGGAAGTGGGCACTGTCCCAGCCTCTAACAAATGAGAACAGGTCACCCAGAGAGTGAAAAGGCCCATCAGTTCAGGTCTGGCTCCAGGTAGGCAGCTGGCATTTACCATGGCTTCATGCCACAGTGATACAGGGTGGGCAAGACAAAGTCCTGCCCTTTAAGTTGGCTACAACCTAGTGGAAACACAAAAGCCAACAACATAGTTTCAATTACTTTTGAGTGCTTTAAGAGGAAGTAAAAGAAGTTAATTTCCAGGGTGGGGAAGTGGTTTAGTTAGATCTGAGAGGGTTCCTCAGAGGAAGGAATTGATAAGGAGGGGGCTGCTTGCCGGCTAAGTGAGCTGACAGAACATTCCTAAGAGCAGGAACAGAGAGTGCAAAGGGCCTGGGGCAGAACGAGCTTGGGGGTTTGGACAGAAAGAAGCCTGATATGATTGCAGTAATAACACACTGTGAGCTGGGCGCCGCTCTAAGTGTCTTCCGTGGACTCACTCCTTTAATCCTCACAGCCATGCCTTGAAGTGGGTGTCATTAGCCCCATTGCTCAGAAGTGGAGAGTGAGGCACAGAGAGGTTAAACAACTTGCCCCCAAGGTCACACAGCTAGTGGAGGAGCCAGGATTCACGCCCAGGTAGTCTGGCCCCCTTGTTTTTAACCACTCTGTGGACAAGAGGGAGGGATAGACAGCACCAGGCCTTAGGAAGCCTTGTAAACTGACAGCAGGCGTTAGAATTGAGTGCAGGATGCCTGTGTAACTGAAGCCCTAGGAAGGGCCGCACCAGAGCCTGGTTCCAGCAAAGCACGCATTGGTGCAGGTCCTTCTTCCCTTGGCCAGACCCGGGCCAGCACCCCAGTTCTCGGGCTCAGCCATGGCTCCGCACACAAGGGCACTCAGGAAGGACACTGTTGCTAATTTGATTTCCACGTGCTGGCAGGCAGTAGGGGTCAGACAACAAAGATGGGGGTCTGCCTGCTTTGCTGAGGTGCCCTTCGCCCTTCCCCTCCCTCAGCCTCAACAGGAAAAGGTTGGGCTGGAGTCAAAGCAGCTGGTGACAAGTGGCAGTTCTGCAGGTGGGCTCTGTGAGCTCTGTGTCTGCACCAGCTGGGCTGTTAAGAGGGGCAGGCGTGTGAGACATCCCAGCTGGGGGGTATGGAACTTGGCACTAGAGGGTGGAGATTAAGCACAAGGCCCAGGCCACTTCTCACTTCCCTTATCACCTCCTGTACCCCCCATAAATGTTAATGAGCCCTACCTTTCCTCTTAGCAGCTCCCTCCAGTCAAGGGAGAAAGTCAGTCAAAGTTTAGGTAAACTGAGGCTGGACCACATACGAGGGTCTCCGTCCCCTCCCCCCATTCTTGTGGCCCTTGATACTTGGCAGGGAGCGTCCTTCATCGCAGTTGACACCATGGCAGTTTTGACGGCATCATTAGTAGCCATTTCCTTTTTATAAACTGGGAAGCCGAGACCAGAGACGTGAGGGGGACTTGCCACAGGCCACACAGCCTGTACTAGCCAGGGCCAGGGGATGGGGATAAAATCCAGAGTCCAGGCCTGGAATTCTTCATGCTGCCTCCCCACCTGGGGCCCACCACTGGCTTTTCCATGGGGGGAAAGCAGCAAGCCAAGTATACAAGCCCAGCCTGCAGGTGTAGAGTGGGAAGGGAGGAGGAGCAGATGCCATACCATGCAACGAGCTGCCAAGCCATGTGCCAGAGCCCCCTGGCACCAGCACCCTGGCTGAACCCCAAGGCCAAGTTTGACTGCTGGCATCTGTTACCATGGAAACCCAGGCTGGGCTGGGGCCTGGCCAGTGACACAGCAGGCCCCTCCCCACTGATCGGAACCAGGTGCTTAGGCACAGAGGCCTTTCACCCAGGTGGAATGCCCCACATCTTCCTCTCCTTATGGCTTTCTGCTCCCCCACCCCTGACCCCCACTGCGGAGCCCAAACCTGAGCTATCTCCTCCATGTGTCTCCGCACTTTCCTGTGACCCCAGGATGGAGGTTAGGAGGAGATAGCCTTTAATACCCTACCTGGGAGCTGGGAGCTAGTGAGGATGTGGGTGTGAGGTCACAGACACCCAGAGAACACACAGCCAGAGCCAGCATCAAGCACAGCTGAGAGGTCGATTCGCGGAAGTTTCTATGGAAGCGGCCGAGTTGAAATTGGGCCCCACGTGGTGGAACGATGAACGTTATCAGGAAGATCCTCCGGGGCAAAAGCAGAGAGGTGGACGGGCTGGGGCGTGTTCCAAGGAAAGCAAGTGCTGGACTGGGAGTCTGGGCATCTGGTCCCCTGTCCCACTCATGCCACTAACCAGCTGTGAGACCCTCCCTCCTTGGTGAGTGACGAGGAGTCTTCAAGGGCCCTTCCCATGTTTACATTCTTTCCATTGGATGCCAACTCTGGACTTCCCCAGTTATGCAGGGCTGAGGGCTGACACTGCCCTCCCCAGGCCTGCTCAGGCTCCACTGGCCCAGCCCCAGTGGGTTTCTGGGGGGGCGGGCAGGGGCTGGGAACCAGGTGCTGGAGCTGGACAGGCTAGAGGTGTCCCTGTTTATCTGGGGGAAGGGTGGCAGACAGCTTTGTGGATTGGTCTAGCTCAGGAAGGTGAGAAGGAGGCCTGGAGGTGAGAGCTTTGCCTCCCACTCATCTCTTTATGTAAATAAATCCACATCCAGCATTTCCCTTTCTCTTCTCATCCTGGGCATGGAGACCCCCCAGGGAGCCAAGCTGAAGTGTGAGTGCCACTTCCCTAGAGGGGGAGGGACTTCCCTCAAAGGTCCCAGCACTCCCCATCCCCCGACCTTCTGAAGGAAAGGAACAGCTTCCAGAAGGGGCCCTACCCTATTGGGATGTCCTGGGCTATGCTGGGCCCTGCGGGTGTGGACACAGCAGAAAGACTCCAAACACATCCCTGTGGAGTAGAAGGAGCAAGGACTTTGGACACCTGGTTCCACCATTCAACTAGCTGGGTTTGCCTCAGTTTCCTCATCTGCAGAATGGGGTCATAACTGGCCTGGTAAAGAGCAGCATGGGACCAGAGGTTATGTGAGGAGCTGGTGGGCACTTGATCCCAGGCAACTGTTAGGCCACATGGGGAGGAGGTCCTGAGAGGCTCCAGGGATGGCCGCTGCCCCGGGCAAGCGGGTGGCGGTGAGGCCCAGGACACAGACCCTCTGACATCTGCCACGTGCAATTATCTCCTTGGGTCCTCCAACATCCTGGGGCATTGCTGTCCCCATCTCTCAGAGGAAGCTGCGGAGGCCCAGAGAACAGTCGCCTGCGCCAGTGCAGCCAGCTCTTCTGTCCCCAGCTCAGGCCAGCTTTGGGGACTCCATGGGAGTCTTCCACAGTCCCAACTGTTCCTTCCTCTCCACCCCTGATCCCCAAGCTGTTGCACCCACTATTTGCTGCCCGTCTGGACAGCCTTAACCCCTCCTTTCCCAGTGGCCAGATAGCAGATAGGGGGAGCTAGGGGTGACAGAAGCAATGGAAGCCCAGCTCCTGGCCAAGCCCACCTCCTGACCCCCACAGAGAGGCTCCTTTTAAGGCTGCTTCTGGGAATTTCCACCCCTGAGCCAGAGCCGGCAACCCCAGATTGATACCTGCCCTCACCCTCCGGTAGTGGGGCGCTAAACCTGAGGGCAGGAGAAGCTGACCCACAGAGGGGAGGAGGGACACCCCGGTTGGGGTCTGCGAGGGTTGGGAATAGCTCGGGAGACCCCAGGGCCAGCCTCCTGTGGAGAAGGCTCCAGCAGCCTCATCCTCTGCGCTCGCTCGGTAGCCCAGGAAAGGCTGGCAGCTCCGCCACTGGCTGCTTTGCAGTCTCACTGGCCGGGAAGGTGGACACCTCACACCTCAGTCTCCCAATTACGCCCTCCTCCCCCTCCTCCTCCTCCTCCCCTCTCTTCTCTCTCCTCCTCCCCTTTCTCTCCTCCTCTCCCCCCTGAAAACCTGTTGCTTGAAGAGACCTTGGCTTCTCTGGGACTCTACCCCTGGGGACTGCCTATATCTGCTCCTGAGTTTGGGGAGCAGGGGGGCAACTGCCCCAAGAAACCTCTCCGGCGATGGGAGCCGCCCGCCTGCTGCCCAACTTCACTCTGTAAGTGCGCGGCCTCTCCGACTGGAGTTTTGTTGCCATCTCCAGCCTCGGGCAGCCCTAACCTTCCCGGGACTCCCACACAGACAGCGGGTGGGTCCGGGGTGTGGGCGGGGGCGGGCTCCCGGTGCACCCTGGGCTGGCTGAGGGCACCCACACTTGGGTCCGCCTCGTGTCCCCACACAGGTGCTTGCAGCTACTGATCCTCTGCTGTCAAACTCAGGTAGGTGAGCTGTCCGCACTAGCTTCTCCCCATCTCTCCCACCCCACCCAGTGGGGGAGGGGGCAGTCGCCTTCTGGCGGACAGAGGCACATTCTGGCCCCTCCCCGGGTCCAGGATGCTCTGAGGTTTTGGGGCGTGTAGGGGGGTGTCAGCCTTTGGAGGGGTTAGGGGAAGGGGCTATGGCAAATTTGGGGATTGTCTAAGGTTTTTAATCTGTCTTCCCTCCCATGGCCCTCCCTACTTCCCCTGGGGTCTCTGCCTCTCTCTCCATCCCGGAGTCACCCCAAGGCTAAGTGTGAGGGCAGCCCAGGCTTAAGGGATGGAGCTGGGAGTGGCTAGGAGAGAGCAGAGGTGATGGATCAGGTGAGGCTTGTACCTGAAAGGACAGGTTTCTATGCAAAACCACCTATGTGTTCCACTCACGACTCTACTCCCACCAACATGGATGTCCTGGGGGGGGGTGCTCTCCTGGGGGTCACTGTCCTGGGGGGTCATACAGGCAGTCAGGATGCCCAGCCAGGGCAGGTGACTCCTTACCTACAGGCAATGAGGTCAAACCCGAAGAGGTTGTTTGGGACAAGATTCAGGGTTGGCAGGGTTGACTCCTCCACGATCCCCCCACCCAAGTAAGTCCCCCCCATGCCCACCTCCCCCTAGCCCCAGCCCCAGTGCGAGGCTTGGTCCCTTTTTGTGATCCTCCATGAAAGTGCAGCTATTAAAATGCACTGGTCCAGAACCGCGCTGGGGAGATGGTTTGGCTTTCCCAGGCCAGAGGCCGCTTCTCTTCCTATCCAGTGGGGACTTTTTTTGAAGGTAAATGCCTTTTCTCTGGGAGAGGGGAAGGGGCTGCCTTTGAAGCAGTGGGGGGGTGGGAGAGAGGGAGAGAGAGACAACCCCCCCTTTTCCTTCCCCCTTTTGCTCAAGCCCCCGTTCCAGGCCTTTTGCTTCACACATCCAGGGAGAGCAAGAAGAAAGCCCCCCAGCCTGGCCGGGAGGGGGCTGGGGGTGGGTCCAACCTGTTCTGGAAAGGGAATTAGCACAATGGTGCGGCTGGCCTGGCGTTTATGGCCTGGCTGAGGCCCCATTCAGGACTCAGGGAAGGTGGCAAAGCTGTCCTTTCCCCCTTGAAGTGCCCCCTCGCCCCCCTTGGAGGGGGGGCCAGCAGGCCGGACCACAGCCATGCTTGAGGGGCTGGCTGACAAGCAGCTGTCTGCTGCAGTGGAAGGGGAGGTCCCCCCCGCAGCGGGAACATGAAAGGGACAGGCAAGGTCCCGCGGGGAGAGCGACTTGTGGGCTGTGGGCTGTGGGGGGGCGTGGGGCTGCTTTTGTGCAGGGCTTGAAGGGGGACAAGGAGAGGAGGGGGCTTCAGGGGGGCCCTCCCTGCTCCTGACCTGGAACAGACAACCAGAAGAAGGCTGCCCGCCAAGAGGGGCGGAGGGCCTGAACCTGGGCCAGGAGGCTTGGGGCTGGGGACAGGCGGACTCCACCGAGGGTCCTGGGCCAGCCAGACCCCACCCCTTGGCAGGAAGGCCGGTCCCCCAGCCCAAATTCGGGCCTCAGGTTTTTCCAGGATGGGGCGCGGGGTGGGCTGGGGTCTCCTAGGCTGGGGTCCTGGAAATGGCTCCTGACCTGTGGACAAGCTGAAGTGGGAAATGAGCAGTGACACACATGAAGAGTTAACCCGGAGCAGGTTACGCTGTCAGCCTCCAGCAGCTTCTTCGCCTCCCCTTCCTCAAAGCGGACACTTCTCACCCGTCCCTCCAGGAGAGAGTGGCCCTAACAGATGCTGATCTGAGGCTAGCTCTGTCCAGAGAGTTGCCACTGGGCCTGGGATAAAGGTGGACTTAGAGACTGGGGACAGGGAAAGGCTATGCCCGCACAGGCCCCGGGTTCAGGTGAAGAGAGAAGCATTTTAGTGTCAGAGCTGAGGCTGTGGCCAGCAGCTGGGAAGTGTCCTCCAGGGGGCACCTTGCTGGAGAGAAAGGGCAGGAAGTGGCCTCCTGCTAGTGCTGCAGATGGGTAAGGAGAGTTCTGCCTGGACCAAGTACTTGTCCTGACTTTGTACGCCACCGTGCTTGGGTGGAAACGGCGCCTCGCCCCTCCTGGGGAAGAGGGTGGGTGGCAGCATGGCCCCCGGCTGGCTGAGAGCCTCTGTTACATTGTGGCACAGGCAGGGCCCCTGACAGGCACAGCCCTTGGCACACCGCTGAGAGCGCCTCTCGCTGCTTGCTGCCTTCACCTCCCTCTGCTAAGGAGGCTCCTCGTCCTTAGAGGAGGGAGGAATGCTGGAAGGGGCCTGGCTTGTCTGAGCGAGGAGGCAGGGGAGCAGGGCATGACTCAGGATTCTACAGTTAGTGCTGTAAAAAAAATGCTTACAGGGGTGCTGGAGCCCCCATAATGCTCTCCCATGATCCTAACAGACCAGCCGCTGTCTGTGCATGTGCTGGGGGTGGGGTCCTTCAAGGCCAGTGGGAAGGATGGAGGAGAAATCTGGTTGTCCTGGCTAACAGAGCCAAGACCCTGGAGTCCTGGAGAGGGGACGAGCTCCAATGCTACAGGCAGGACGGGTTCTGTCTCTAATTGGCTGTGTGACCCTGTGCACCTCCTCCATAGAATGTGGGGATCAGATATCAGAACTTTGAGGGTTCCTTCCAGCTCCTAGAGTCATGATTCCAAGTCTGCCCTGTATCATCATAAAGTGTCCCCCAAGCCTGGGCAGCCACCAGTTCTCTGCTCTAGGCCAAGAGGTCATGGCTGGCTCAACCACTGGCCTGACAAGGTCATGGCCATATGCCCCCTTCACCCTGCACCTCTACTTCCCAGGACAAATGGCCTGCCCCCGCCACACTCACCTCTGCACCCCTCTCCCCTGGATGGACCGGTGGTGGTGTCACCCAAAGCAAATTGACACTATTTTTCCCTTGGTAACCGCAAAGGGGGAGAATCACCCGTCTCCTAATTTTAACCAGTACGTGAGGGACCAGGGCGCCATGACTGACCAGCTGAGCAGGCGGCAGATCCGCGAGTACCAGCTGTACAGCCGGACCAGCGGCAAGCACGTGCAGGTCACCGGGCGTCGCATCTCCGCCACTGCTGAGGATGGCAACAAGTTTGGTGAGACCCAGCCCTCACCAGAGGCCACCCACACCCCTGGCCAGCCTCACCTGGTCCATCTCCAGATCCCGTGTCAGGGTGGAGGCCACGGGGGAGCAAGGAGAAGCCACTTGGAGGAGGGTCCCCAAGGGCCTCCCCATGCTCCCCACCCGAGTTCGGTGGAGGTCAGGTTGGTTGGTGGGTCCCCTGCTACCCGCTGGGCTGGCAACTCCCATGGACAGAGGTCTCTCTCCCCCTCCCCTATCACAGCCAAGCTTATAGTGGAGACAGACACGTTTGGGAGCCGGGTACGCATCAAGGGGGCTGAGAGCGAGAAATACATCTGCATGAACAAGAGGGGCAAGCTCATCGGGAAGGTGAGGCCCGGAAGACAGAGCAGATGCTTGATCCGGTCGTCTAGGGTGGGGCACGCAGGGCCCAACCTCACCCCACTTCCCTCTTCGGGGGTGGATGCAGGACCATGACTCTTCTGCTGTCACCCACCCACCACTCTGCTACTCTCTGCCCTCTCCATTTTAATGAGTCCCTCGGGGTCTACAAGCACTCTGAGGACACTGGCTGACCCATAGGGTCCTTGGCCCAAATTTATCGGGTATTTCCCAGCATCGATGAGTAAGAATTTCAGCACCTACATGATGATGCAGCCCTTGTGTTGAGGGTTACATGCTAATCAGGGTTGAGACTGAGCATTCATTCAGGGCCAAAGGCTCCCCCAAGGTGAGAGGGCTTCACAGAATCCAACAGCAAGATGCACACGAACCACCTGTCAGCGTAACTAACGGCCAACTAGCCTAAACACCTACTAGTGTAGTGGCCTACTCTGCAATGGTGGGGCCAGCACTGGGGTGCAAGGGTGAAGTCCATCTCCTTTGGCATTGGTCAATCCTTGGCTTCTGATTCTGGCAGTTCTCACCAAATAGCTGCTGATTTTTTCCAAGCCTCAGGCTACTCATCTGTACAAGTGGGCATAGTGTCAGGGTTATCTACAGGGTCAAAGGGGTGCCTGTGTGGCTCTTGACACAGCCAGTGTCTATAAATGTTTGCCCCTTCTTTTCATCAGAGATGGGTGCCTCCTTTCCCTCCACCCAGCAACACCATTCACCCAGGCTGAGGACGGTTCTCGTGCACAAGTGCCCACTGGGTATGCACGGAACTGCACAAGTGCCTTGATTTTTATGCCACATCTCAGGAAACTGAGGCTCAGCATAGCTAAACACCTCATTCAAGGTGTACAACTTCCAAATGGCAAGGCTGTATGTAAGTTCAGATCTGACCCCAAGCAAAGCCTGTTCCTTTCTCCCACCTTTGCCTCTCCAACAAGAGTACCATCTCACCAGCCAGAAATCCTTGGGCTGCCAGCCCCTGATGCTCCCTGTCCATCCTCAAATAGGCCCATTCGGCAGCTAAGCCGGACAGGGTGGGTGACACACATCCCTCCTCTCCTTCCTTCCCCCGCAGCCCAGCGGGAAGAGCAAAGACTGCGTGTTCACGGAGATCGTACTGGAGAACAACTACACGGCTTTCCAGAACGCCAGGCATGAGGGCTGGTTCATGGCCTTCACGAGGCAAGGCCGGCCCCGCCAGGCCTCCCGCAGCCGCCAGAACCAGCGAGAGGCTCACTTCATCAAGCGCCTCTACGAGGGCCAGCTGCCCTTCCCCAACCAAGTCGAGAGGCAGAAGCAGTTCGAGTTTGTGGGCTCATCCCCCACGCGCCGGACCAAGCGCACTCGGAGGCCACAGCCCCTGACGTAGTCAGGGACACAAGTGCGGGGGCAGCTGCCCTTCACCAGCCTTCCTATCCCCTTCCCTTCCTAATCCAAAGACAGGGCCGGGTGGAGGAGGGCTGCCAGAGCCCCACAGGAGGGCCCTGAGGACCGACCAGCAGCAGAGCCCCAAACTGGAGAGGGGCAGGACTGGCATCAACCAGGGCTGGGCCTCAGGGCAGTGTCCTGGACCTCGCCCTGGCATAGGCCCCCAGGGCTGGGGCAGACCCCAGGAGAAGAGCTGTAGTGTCCCCTGGACTCAGAACCCTGAACCAAGAGGCAAGGTCAGCAGGTTCAAGGCCTTGCAGACACTGTCTGGAGGTAGCTCTCTTCCAATTCTGTTCCCTTTGTCTCTCTCAGTCTGCCCCCAGCCTCCACACTGCTCCTGGCCAGGCTGTAGGAAGGGCCTTTCGTTTTTTGTTTCTGGAAAAAAAGAAAAGGGAGGAAAAAAAGAGGGTTAACCGTTCTTCACATTCCACTACCCAGGCCTGCACCCCCACCCCCAGCTCCCAGCCCCAGAATAAAACCATTTTCCTGCAAACGGGTGATCTGAAGAGGGTGGAGGTGGAGGGATCCAACTCCCAAACTCCACTGGTGATAAACTGGCTTCTCCGAGAGGCGCGGGAACGCGCAGCGCCCAGGCCCGGGCGCCGGCAGGTGCAGAGCCGCGCGGGGCGGGGCGGGGCGGCCTCGAGGGTACGCAGGCCTGGATGGCCTGGGAGGCCCGCAACTCCGCCCGCGGGAGCCCAGGGCGCCCCTCCCTCCGCAGGCTCCAGTTTCCTGGCTCTCCCGGCGCGTCCCGTGCTACCTGTTGGGGCGCAGAGAACCCACACCCTGGGGCCGAGCCTCGGGCCGGGCGGGCGGGGCAGCAGGCCCGGCGCCCCTGCTGCTGATGCCGCCTGGCCGGGAGCAGGATTGCTTTTTTCCGGTGAGGAGGGTCGGGGCGGGGGAGGAGGGCGCGGGGGCGTGGAGGGGGGAGCGGGGACGAGAAAGTGTCCCCTCGTCCTCCCAGGTTCGCTGCGGCCCGGCGGGGGCGCACCAGAGGGGAATCGCAGTTAGAGGCGGCGGCCCCGCGGCCCGGGGAGGGGGCTGCCCCCCCCCCCGGAACCTGTCTCGGGGGCTTTCCCAGACGCCCCGAGGTGCGCATCTGGAGGGTGGAACTCAGAGGCCATAAAACCCACCTCTTTCCTCCGTTCGCACTGGCTTTTAATCTTGTCAAGGGGAGGCCCTTCCCTGGAGGTCTCTGTGCTTGGGGGGAAGCAGGCCCATGGAGCTCAGTCTGTGGGACCCCCAGCCTCAGTTTCCCTCCCTCTTCCTGAGAATATATTGGGGAAGGGGATCATGGAGAGAGAAGCACAACGATGAAAGACACCCCTTCTCCCCACTTCTCCCAAGCGTGGCCTAAAAATCGGGACAGAATGGGGAGTTGTGGAGGGGCTTGGTTTAGTCCAACCGGGAGGAGAGGGAAACGGCAGTCCAAATTGACGGGGGTGGGGGCTGGGTCACTCACCTCTCCCTTGCTGAGAACTGGAACCCTGTCTGACACCCCCAACTCGGGGCAATTTAGACTGCGGCAGCCAAGAGGGAGGTCCCCAGGCCCCAGGACATTCTCCTTCCAGCTTGTCATAATTGCTTTTCACCAGGCAGGGTTTTTTTCTCTCCCCCCAATCACAAAGAGCCTTAATCCCCGTGAAAACTGCAGGAAACGTCTTGGGAGTCATTTTCTGGGGTGTGTGTAGGGAGGGTGGTCTGCAGCCACAGCTGATAACCGGTGAGGTCAATGGGATTTTCAACTCAGGGGCAACGCCCAGCAATTACCTGAGAACAAAGGGTTGGGGCACCCAGGTGTGGAGGACTGGACTTGGGGGGCTGAGAGAGGGGCCTGGGAAGGAGCTGCGTTGGGGAGGGGGAGCTCTTACAATCCCTCTGATTTCCGCAGGAATTTGAGACATTCTTTAAAACTCTCGACTGCCTCCCCCCAGCCGGGCTCTCAGGCCCACCCCCACCCTCCCTGGCTCGGGTTAGAGACGGCTTCAAAGGTGGACGGGGCCCTTTGTCTTGCCTCTGCTTTCTTCTCTGCCTTTCTCGGCCCCTCCCTCCCTCTCGTTGACCTCCCCAGCACAGATAGGCCTCTGGGGGCCGGCTCCAGAAAGCCCTCACTGTTTCCTTCCTTGGTGTTTGAGGTGAGACCTGGCGGGGAGGGACAGAATACAGAAGGGTGAGGGAGGAAGGCAGCTTGGAGGCCTGTGCCATCTCAGAGAGTGTGGGTGCCCCACCCCAAGCCTGAGCCTGGCCAGTCGGATGCCTGTTTGTGGCCTTGGGCCCCTGGCAGGGCTCTCTGAACCTTCTCGTCACACCATTTGGTGCCTCTGCCGAGGCCAGGCTCTCTACACAGGGCACCTCTTCATGCTCTGGGGAAGTCTGTTCAACTCATTCCCTCTGAACTGGTGATTTTGAAGATGCTGACAGGACGGGGCCAAAGGAATGGAGGTCTAATCCCGGGGCCTCAGAGGGAGTTAAAGGATATGAGTGTGTGATGGAAAGGAGGCTTCCTGTGGGCCTCAGACTGCCCCACGCCGGGCTGCAGCAACCTGGTTGCTTCTGGGTGCCCAAAGGCTCTAAGCAAGTGTGCGCGGAGGGGTGGACACAGTGGGGCAAGACTGAGGGCAAGAAGAACACATCCGTCTCAGGGGAGGGCGTGACAAGGTGGAGGGAGACGTGCCCCAGATCCCGTGCCTGTTTAGGATTACCAAGAACTCTAGCTAAGAATAGCCTCCATATTGATCTCCCTTCTCTGTCCTGTCCTTCAAACAGCCAGATGAGGCAGAAGGGAGCCAAAGCAGGAAGTCAGAAGGGGAGTCCACTCATTTTAGTCCTTGCAAGCTGGCTTCTGCTTGCCGCACTCCATTCAACCCTGTCCATCAGACTCCAATGGCAGTGACTTTCCAGTCACCAACCCAGAAAGCCTTGCCTCAGACCTGCATGTGCTCAGCCTCACAGCCCTGGACACTGCCAGGGAGCACCCCGTTTGAAGCTCTTTCAGCCTGCCACAGGCTGTCCTTTTCTCGTTCTCTCCCTGCTTCGGTCTTCTCTTTCCTGCCTCCTCTTCGTAGAAACGTTCCCTACGATACCTGCCATTGTCTTCTCTCCTCGTTCTTCATGCTGTCTCTCCCTGAGCAGACCAACATCTCAACTCTCACCCCCTTGCCCATGGCTGCTTTCTCCTCCAAACTCCGGAACACCATTGTGAGACCTCCCTGGGATGTCTCATCACCTTTAAGAACGCTGGCAAAACAGCAACCCTTGCTGTCCCACAAGCTCACTGTGCCCATCTTTGTTCATGAGGTTCCCCTTGCCTAGCGTGCCCTCCTCCGGAAAGCTTGCACGCCCAGACCGCAGCCATCTTGTCTGCCCCGTGGACTTTCCCACTCTCTTGGGGGAAGTGAAAGGGTCCACTGTGCTGGTGTGTACACCCTTGCCGTATGGCACATATCACAGCTGGTCCAGACTGTACTAATGCTTGTGTCATGGATCTGCTAGGTAGCAAGTGCCTCAGATGTAGAAATAGTCCGTCTGTGCCTCTCCCGCCCGCCAGTAAGGATTACACCAAGTAAGGATTTACTGAGGGAATAAACCAACGGAAAGCCCAGAAAGGCATCACTGGCCCACACCCTTCAGTCCATCAAGGGGGAGTCAGGATGAGAAGCCAGAATCTGGTCTTCACTCTCCATCCTGAGGTAGACTTGGGAGGAGAGGGGTCCTAAGCCGTGAATCCAAACATCTATCTATTCCCTACAACATGCAAGCACTGTGCTAGCTGGCCCTTCATTAATAAAAAAAGATGGACAAGATATTGTGTCATCCCCTATCAAGCTCCCAAGACACTTGAAATTCAATTGGGCAGATAAACCCATAAAAAGGCATTTTTGTGTGTGTGTGGCCGGGGGGAGACTTTTGGAAATCCCTCTATGGCACCTAAGATAGCAAAGTAGCATTTGGCACCTCCCAAGAGTGAAAGAGGAAATAAGACGCTAACATGCACGGGGGCTCTGGCAATGTGCCAGACAGTGCCCCAGGCAGGCTCACATGGAACCCCTTATGTAGAGGGTAAGATTATTCCCATGTAATGTGTGGGCCAGCTCAACACACAGATGTGTTAAATCATTCACGGTCACAGCCAGCGAGCATCACAGTCTAAATTCTGTCCTATCTTCCACACCTTGAGTGGAATGTTCTCCACTCCCCGGCCAGGCACAGTGGGTTCTAGGGTGGGAGAGTGCATGGGGCAAGGCAATTGGGAAGGACTGGGGTTTGCATGCTCTTTCAGAACAATCGGGATTTCAGCCAGCAAAGACATGCAGCGTGAAAATACTGAGAGTGAAAACAGAATAAGAAAGGCCGTGAGGCAGGAAAACGTGAGGTGTGTCCAGGGGAAGGTGAGCAGTTGATCAGTTTGGCTCCAACTAAAGGTTTGCATAGAAAAGGGGCAGGGAGTGACTGGGTCGCATCATGGAGAGTTTGGTCTTTATGCTGTGGCAAGGAAGAGAGAGTAAGGGGCTTTGAGAAGGGGAGTGAGCAGATGCAATTGTGGGGTCAGCGTTTGGGGTAGCAAGCTGGGGGCTGAGGCTCTGGGGTCCAGGGGATAGAGGGTCTAGTGGTTGTGGGGGGGACATGGTTTCCAAACTCTGATGAGAAAAGGTCCCTTCTAGGCCCTCGTCCTTCCTTGTATTCCTCTGGTCCAGTTTTCTGTCACCTTTCCCTTCTCCTTAGGTGCCCAGATGCCCTAGTCAGCCTCTCTGAGAGTTAATGTTTAGACTGCACAGGCACGGGGTAGGGGGGGCGGCGGGAGGGGAAGAGTCCCTGGTGCTTCCCCTCCCTGACAGGTTCATGCATGAGGCGGGACAAGGGGCACTGGAGTGAGACGGAGAGAGAGGGCAGAGCAGCCTATTGCACAGGCCCTGGGGAGGGGGCAGGCAGCAGGGCCAGAGTCCAGCCAGGACATCTGGCACCGGTGACCTTGCTGGGGAAAGGAGTTAAGAAGTAGGTGTCCTGGGCCTAGGACGGCCTGCCTTCGAGGGGCAGGAGCCCCAGCCCCTACTGTGGACTAAGTGCCCATCCTCAAGGCCCCAAGGCAATCCTGAGCTTAAAGGTACGCTAGCCCTGTTACCAGCGTTCTGGGTATGGCCAAGCAGTGCCCAGGAAGCCCACCCAGGGGCCTGGGCTAACAGGCACCGGCTGTTTGGTGTTGCCTGCTTCTGGGGGGACGATTTTGCCTTCCCTCTCATCCCAGCCTGACGGGGAGGCAGGCAGGCAATGGGGGAGGATCTGCAGCTGGCCTTGAGGATTCTGGGGCCTTACCAGGAGGAGGGGGTTGGAGACAGAGCAAGGATCTGCATAGGATGAGGTGGAAAGGCAGCATGGCAGGCTAGACAAGGGTGTCTGGCCTGGGAGTGCCCTCTGGACCCCACCCCCCAACACACACACACACACACACACACACACACACACACACACACACACACACCAGGATACCTCCCAGCAAGAAATGACCTTGACAGCTACCATACCTCAGGTCAACAGAGGGAGCCCTAACTCTGCAGTCCCCTTGGTTCCAGGGCTGGCTGGCTGAGGATTTTTCCTGCCCAAGGTGGCTCTGCCCGTGGAGGGACACTCCTACGGAGCTGGTGGCAGTGCGAATGAGCTTTGTGGGACTGGAGGAGGGCTGTCCCAGGCTCTGACTTGCTTGTAGGTCGAGGGGAATGAGAGGTTTGGGGACTAGGAGGGCGCTCAGGGATAGCAGAGGTCACATAGGGGCAGGGTACCTGGGCCTGCAGCTGTGTGCCCACCCCAGCCATGCCCCGTCGCTCCTCCTTCCTGCCGGAAGCCACCCTCTCACCCTTCAATATAGACTATCTCTCCCTTGTTCCTACTGCTCTTCCTTAACTCCACGCTGAGCTTTCTGGACTCTTTCTCCAAGGCTGGCCTGCTCTCTGGCCCTGAACTAAGGTTCTCCTGAGGCTGCCCCAGGGGCCAATCCCAGAGCCTTGTGGGAGAGGGAAGGGGAGAGCGGTGGCGCTGGGTGGGAACCCCGGCTCCTGAAGCTCGCCCACTCACCCCAGCAGAGAGGCCAACCTCAGGCCCCCTCCCTCCATCACTGAAGAGGCAGTAGGAGCCATAGCCGCCTCCTCCCCCCTCCCTGCCGCCTCCTCGGCTGAGCCGGCAGGTTGTCCTGGCAACGGGAGGCGGAGAGGAGATGCGCCGAGGGATGGAGGTGTATGTCACTGAGGAAGCTGCCGTGCTCCTGCCCCACGCCCCAGGCCCTTGAAGGTACCGTGAACCCTCCCCACTCCTTCCTGCCCTTCCCCTTGACCCCCCCCTCCCCATCCAACATGCTTGTTGCCTTGAGGAGAATGCTCCCCTCCTTCCCAGCCCCGGAAGACTGTTACCCATTCCTCATGAGCCACCTCTCTCCAGGCCCCTGTCCGTAGCAGTCCTTTCCAGCAGCAGCTCATTCCAGCCCTCCCTCTGGGACCCTTGCACAGGAAGACAAACCTCGTGGGGGTGGGGTCTGGTAAGGGGTCAGAGAGAGCAGGGGAGGACCCGAGGTTGTGGGAAAATCGCCGGTCCTAAAGGCTGAGGCGCAAAAGCGCCTGGCACTTGGTTTCCTGGATGGGAGGAGGGAGGGAGTGCAGGCCTGGGGTGGGGCCAGGGCAGTAAGGGTGGAGTGGAAGGGAGAGTGAACAGAGAGGCTGGCAGAGGCCGGGCTGGTTTCCCAGGAAGGCCTGGTTCCTCTCCTCCAAGGCTGTGGCCCCTCCTGCGACATCAAAGGTACACCCCCTCCCACATCATCTCCTGGCCTTTTCTTCATGGCTAGATGGATCCTGTGTTCCCCCCACACGCACCCCCACCTGTCTCCTACCTTTCCGCATGGCCCTCTCCCCCGCCACACACACAGCAGCTACGCCGACTCTGTCTACTCTTTCTCAGCCACTCAGCTCCCTGCCTTCTTCATTCCCCCTTTCTTTCTAGAGCCCATCCTTCAGGATTCAATCTTCTCTGTCTTCCACTAACCCAGACACATCCCTCGCTTCCTGTCCCTACCTGTCCCCTCCTGTCCTCTTCTCTTGGAGAAAGAGGTCCCAGGGCACACTCTCACTTGTCCCTCGAAAGACCCTCCCCTCTGATTTTTCATTCAGATATCCCAGAGCCCCCTCCCCAGTTTCTAGATTTCCCTAATGACAGCTGACATATCAGCTGACCAGCTATGGGCAGTGGTTACCAGGGCAACAGCAAGGGCTGCCTAGGTAGGCAGGTCTGTCAGGCAGAGGTGGAGAGGAGGCCGGGGCCAGGGCCAGGGCCAGGGTCAGCTGGCTGGGGTTCCTCCCCTGCCGGACCCTGGGGGTCACAAACGGGGCTCTGCTCTGAACCCAGAGGGACCCAAAAGGCCAGTGACAGGTCTCCCCAGAGACAGGGAAGCCACATCCCTGTAATTCTGTGCTGGGACCTGGGCATCACCTAGCAGGAAGTTCCCTTTTGATGAAGTTGCCTTGGCAAGAAATGGGGTCTTTCTCACTTGAGCCACCACTGCTGTGCTGTGCTCCATTTCCCAGGGGATTCAGGCTCCCAGAGGGCCAGCCCAGTCTTTTGTGCTGAGGACCTGCTTTTTCCAGTCTCCCCACCCGTCCTCCCCAGGAGGGGGTTAATCTTTGGATGATGAATTCTGCCATCTGTGCCCATAACCCCTAGCTCGGGGCGTCCATGCCCTTTAGCACCCCTGGAAGGAAGGGACCCCAGAGGCCTCTGTGGCTGCTGTTAGGTGCTGAGTAAAAATACAGGTCCTTGGAGAAACCAGGTGTTGTCACCCCTTGGTTATCAGTAGAGCCCTGTCCCCCCCACCCCCACCCCCAGACTCACTCTGGCTGTTTATGAGGAGGCTCCAGGGGCTATGTATGTGTAAGCATGAATGTTGCAAGGTTGGGGGTGTGGGAAAGGGAAAAAGGCCGGCGGCTGGCCCAGTCTGCTTCCGATTCTGCTTCGTCATGATGTCGGCTTAATGCTCCTCTTGTTTGAAATGGATTGGGCTGCAGCGAGCGAGGTGGAAGGGCAGACACACACAAACACACCCTGGGCTGGCCACACGCTATCAGCTGGAGGTGGGGAGAGTGAAGGGGAGCTAGCCACCCGCCCGAGGTCCTGCCCACCCGCCTGCCAGACGCAGACTCCCCAGCACGGAGATCCAAGTGCCAGGCTTTTGGAAGAGCAGGGTGGGGGCGAGGGAGGTGGGGGCCCAGAAGGCTAGGTCCTCTCCTTCGCCAGCTCCCCACCACCACACCCCAGCCGGCTTTTTTCCTGTTATTTGTGCTCCGGGAAAGCACAGCTGGGTTCCTGGAAGAGATGCCTGCTACCTAGGACAGGCTGGGACCTGGGCCTGCGCCTGTCCCTGCTTGGCCTGGGGGCTCAGGTCTGGGCCACGCTGTCTGGGAACAGGTAGGTGGCAGGGTCTCCCACTCTCTTTCCCTCTGTGGGCCCTTTGGGCCACAACCCCAGTCTGGGAGAGAGGCTCTGGTGATGGGATGGCAGGGAGCCTTTGGGGAGGGTCACCTGTAGCCCCTTATTCAGTGGGAGAATGGGCCGGGTGGCCAGACCCTAGGACTAACTGGGTTTGATCTGATCAAACAGCCTTCTCATTTAAGGAAGAGGGGCTGGGGTGTTCTATGCTGTCACCCCAGTGCTCCCTTCACCAAGTTGTGTGGGCCCGAAGTCCAAGTGATGGCATGGGGCCCAGGGCGGGCAGGGGACCTGTTCCCTCTTTGCTGAGTGACGGGGAAGGGACAGAAAGGCATTGCCAGCCCCTCTCCCCCCACACCAGGGATCCCCTGGAGGAGAGCAGTTCACACAGAGGCCTGGAAGCCGTTGCTGTGGGGCATACCCCTGGGGAGGGGGCCCTGCGGAGCCTCCTTCCAGGCCTTGGCTGGGAGAGGCCAAATGAAGAATGAGGTTGGGTGGAAGGGGGTGGCCGCAGGCCTGACCCCGGTGCTCTCCTGGGGCTGGGGGCTGACACACTGAAAGGGGCTGGGGGCTGAGCAGACACGAAGGGCCCCCCCCCCAAGGATCCAGAGACACCCCTGCTAGCTCTGCCCAACAGGCCAAGCAACCTTTCCTGGGCAGATGCACCTGGTGTTTCCCTCCCAGGGGACTGTGTGTTGCCAGGGTACCAGGGTCAGGGGAGCAGGAGCAGGTCTAGGAGATGGAGGCAGTCATTCTTTGGCAATGGGTGGCACAGGAAGCCGCCAGGGGATGGATAAATGTGGGGGGCTCTGTGTGTGTTGCTATACGCATTCACAGCTTGGGGAGGGGGTATCGCACATGGTACAAGTGGCTGTGACGTGGAGGACCGGTGGGTGGATGCGAGTGGGTGTCAGTGGCACTGTGTGTCATTGTGTGGGGGCCTCGCTGGAAGAGTGGGGGCGTGATCCTGCAAGCAGATGCATGAGTTCTGCAACTGTGTTTCCGCGTGGGCTCTCCTGCCTGTGCCCACGTGTGAGTCTCGCCTCGGTGCTGCCGGCTTCTTCATGGCCATGTGTGTCAAACACCTGAGGCAGGCTGTCCACTTGGGCGTGCAGGTCTGTAGGAATTCCTCTTTCGGAGCTCGTGTGTGTGTGTGTGTGTGTGTGTGCAGGCCAGAATAGCGATGTCTCATAATTTAGAAAGCTGAATTTGGGGTGCAAGACCCTTGTATGTCCCCCAGCCTTCTCAATCCAGCCCATACAAGTGACGCCACAACCCGCCAACGGGACCAGCTATGAATAGTTGCCAGAGCAGGAACATGCTGAGGACCAAGCAAGCCTGAGGGGCTGAGGGAACACAGAAAGAGGGGCTCCTCAGAGGACAGATGGAGAGGAGAGAGAAACGCAAGTGACACATCTAAGGAACAGGATGGATAGATGCATACTTGTGTGGGGCAGGAGGGGATGCCTGGGCCCGGTCCTGTTGTCATCAGAGCAAAGGGAGGCCAGGGCCTTGTGTAGATCGGTTCTCAGGCCAGGACCTCGATTCTGGCCCACTTGCCCCTGCCTGATGTGAGGGTGCTGTATGGTGTTCACATTAGAGAAATCCCAACCCCAGTCCTAGCAGGTAAAACTGGGCTTTGGAAATGGGGGTGGGAGAGAAGGAGAAAATGAGAGAAGAGGAGGGAGTTATGGCTTTGCCAGCCTTAGGACAGGCACAGGCCTCGGGCTTGGCCAAGGGGAGGGATGCGCTCATAAGCCACCGGCCCAGGGCAGGGAGCCCGGTCCTGCTCTCATCACATCCTTGTGGAGGGAGCATGGATGCCGCCACACACACCCACAGAGCCCACGCTCGGAGCAGGCCGTGGCCGCCCCGTTTCCTCCTCTGGTCCGAGCCTGGCCGTCCTGCCCCTCTCCACCCTGGGACGCTGTTTTGGGAACTGGTGACCTAGCTGGAGCCTGCCTTTATTTCTGGCACTGAGTTGTTGCCACAGTAACTGCGGGGGTGGGGCTGGGAGCGGGAGAGGGTGAAAGGGAAACAGATGGAGGGAGGAAAGATGAAGAAAGTAAAGAAAAAGGGAATGGAAAGCAGACAGAGCGGGGGCCGGAGCAAGGACCTTAGTCACACTGTGAATCAAACGAGAGAGAAACGAGAGGGCAAGGTTCCTGCCCACCCTGAACCCAGCCCACTCGGGCAGCTGGCCTCATTTCATAACTCATTTACTGTCTGCACCAGGCGTGACCCTGCCCTGGGGGCACAGAGACTGACTCCTCCAGCCTCCCTGCTCCTTGTCTACAGGCCAAGCCAGCGGGCAGGAATCTGAGCGGATCCACTGTGTGAGGTTAACACATGGGATTCCAAGTGCCAAGTTCAGATTAAGTGGGATTGTTGGGGACCCCTTGAAAAGAGGATTCGTTGGTTTTGACAGGAGACAGGCCTGGGTAGGAATTGCAGCCTGGCTTCTATTCGGGTGGCCTTTAGCAAGTCAACCACTCAGCCACGGTTTCCTCATCTAAGTGGAGAAAAGGATGGCTTGTGTGAACGCAGACAGGATGCAATGGAGTCCATGACCCAGTGACTGGTGCAGAATGAGTGGCTGGCTTAGCATAGGAGCAGAGGCTGGACCAGAGGACCCAGGCTGCAGGTCTGCCGGTGGAGCCTTCATTTCTACAAGCCACAGTCAGGTCAGCCTCTACCTAGAGCAAGACAGAGTGGGGATGGGTGGGCGGTCTTATCGCCCCATCCAGGAGCTGAGAGGCTCTAGTTGCCATGGAGATTTGGGTGGGCAGTGTGAGGTGGGGCTGGCTGCTAGCTTAGAT